GTTGCTTTTCCGGAAATTCAAGGGGCCAGTCTAGACAGCTCGCAGCTTATTCCGGAAAAGCGGCTGATTTTCCGGAATAAGTGGCCCAGTGTAGACACAGCCCTTCTGTAGGAGGCAGCAAGGGAGGGGACAGATGGTTCCATGGGAGTCTATATGCGCGGGGATCTGGTTTAAGGGCCAGCTCACTGTGCATATTGATTCCTGCCTGCCTCCCACTTCCACACTGCTGCCTTTCTATCAGAGGCAGAAATATGGGGGTGGGGAGGTAGGTGGATATGATACTCATGGGGAGCCTGCTTAAAGCTAGCTCCTTATGGGCACCAGCTCCCACTCCACTTCCCACCCTTGTTGCCTCTGTATCAGAGGGGGGAGTGAGTGTAGTCGATAGTATAACTGATAAACCTAAGCTTATCGGTTAGTCGTTTACTCGACTATACATTAATATCCCTAGTTAACAATATGGAGATGTTTGCAGGATTGGGTCTTTATTGACAAGCTGGTCAACTGATTTTTTCGTTGTTGTTTTAGCTATTTACGTTAACCCCCACTCCTCCAGTTAAGATTCCCGCATACTTAGTTAGACTGCCTCCCTTTGAGATACTTAAACCCACTATCAATGTGTAAGGCAGTGTAAACTGGTGAAGTGAAGGAGACAGGAGTAAGTTCATTAAAGCCAGGATACTTTACACTCTGTTATGCTCCCTTAGACATGGGTAGATTTGTGTAAATAGATCTAAGGAAATCTAAGTTACTGTAATGAGCCTATGGCTACGTCTACACTGGCCACAATTTCCGGAAAAGCCATGCAAATCAGGTAAGTCAGGATAGGGAAATCCGCGGGGGATTTAAATATCCCCCGCGGATTTAAATAAACATGTCCGCTGCCTATTTTCCGGCTTGGGGAAAAGCCGGAAAAAAAGCATTTAGACTGGCGCGATCCTCCGGAATAAAGCCCTTTTCCGGAGGATTTCTTATTCCTACTTCAAAGGGCTTTATTCTGGAGGATCGCGCCAGTCTAGACGCTTTTTTTCCGGCTTTTCCCCAAGCCGGGAAAAAAGCGGCGGACATGTTTATTTAAATCCGCGGGGGATATTTAAATCCCCCGCGGATTTCCCTATCCTGACTTACCTGATTTGCATGGCTTTTCCGGAAATTGTGGCCAGTGTAGACGTAGCCTATGAGTGTACGGAGATACCAGTTTGATCCTGTGACTCCAAGTGAAAATCAGGAACTTAAAGGACGTGTAAGTTGATGCAATAAATATAATGAGTAAACTGAAAAAAAAATTGTTATACCTACCTCGGTCCCTGTAAACTTTAATAGATTTGCTTAGTCTAATCCCTGAATTTGGCACTTGAATTTAGCAGAAAAATTCCAACTGATCATAATTGTAAAATTTATTAGCTAGGGTCTAAACTGTCTGTCTATCCTAGTCTAGTTTTTGTGGAAGATACCAGTCAACTAGAATCTTGTGCAGGGGTCTCTAGCTCCTGGCCCAAAGTGATTGAGCAATCCGGTCCAGGACTCCTTGTGGACAGGGGTTGGCCTATCTGTTACCGGCGCCCAAGCCTTGCTCTTTCTGCCATCACTCTG